CTTCTCTTCTCTTCTCTTCTCTTCTCTTCTCTTCTCTTCTCTTCTCTTCTCTTCTCTTCTCTTCTTTTTCTTCTCTTCTCTTTTCTTTTCTTTTCTTTTTAGTTATTCTGTAAACTGGAAACAAAATTAAAACATTCATTTTCATGCATTTTTATATGCTCCAGAGAGTCCATCATGTTTCCTTAGACGAGTTGCTAAGGCTGTGGGTCATCTGTGTAACAGGCAATTGCACTCAAATGAGGTCAGTCACTTAGCTAAGGACAATGGTTTGCAAGCTGTTGTAACAGCAGGTATATCATGTCAAAGCAGACATACATCTTATCTTGTATCATATGGCAAATCTCATCTTTGTTGTAAAGCGTCATTAATTTCAGTGACGACAGCCACATTTTTCTCTTGGTAAGGTGAAGAGCATAGAAATTCATCACCAATTCCTTTCACATAGGTGCACTGACTGTTGTAAACTGAAATGATAACAAATAGTTTGAAATTTCTAAGTGAAGAAAAGGAAATAAAATGGTCTGAGTATTAAAGCATTTGTCATTTAACACCTAAATATTCAAAATGTTATCAAACATTTTTTTTTCTAAGCCTGATGCACATTAAAGTTATATGAATTAAAAATAATAATAATAATAATCAGGATCATAAAATGTCAAAATATGGGAATAACTTATTTTCCTCTTTTGCACTCTGCCTGTGTTATACAAACCCTCTGCCCAGGCTGCATTTTTATGACTGAGAAACATCTTATAAAAACCAGCAGACTTCTTAAGTGCAGAAACATGACTGTTGTTGCTATAGTATTGGAAATGTCACTAGATCAGCATGACTAGTGGTGTAAGATAGTTTATGTTCAGCTTTGGAAAGATGTACGGAATCATCTGCTACAAGCATGAGGTTGGCCAAAATGTTTTAAATTCTATGTCTCTAATGAGGAGCTGAAAAACAAAGAAAACCTTCCCTACATTGCACTAGAAAATGTAGGGAAATAGAAAGAATAGAAAGCACACAGTGAATCTTTTAACCTGGACTGCAAATAACTCTGAAAGGAAAGGAGAGGGCAGAGGAAATAAATTTGGTAACACTATGCATGGATCTTAAGGAAACACCATAAAAGGCAGCGAGCTACTTCATATTGTTTAGCAGTGGTGGGTTAGACATCAGGTGACGATTTTAACTTTAGGGCTCCAAGTTGTCTCAGTGTCCCAAAGATCCCATCATCTCTTCTGGAGAGCCAGCAGCTAGAAGTGGTGAATCTCTTGGCCAATGTCTGAGGCATAAGAGGGCTTGTCCCCAGCTAGGCCTTCCACCTCCTCCCAGGCCTGTGTCAGGCAGATTCAGACACCCACGGCCTGAGGCTCTGACTGTCCTGTCCCTTCCTGTGGGACAAGTGAGAGTGACACAACGAGGCTGCCATGGACAGAGGCCTTCATCCCCACGTAGCGCTCATTTGACAGGGCTCACAGGGCCTCCATGCATCATTTGTCCTCCCCCAGCCTCATGGTTGGGAAAGTGGAGAGGGGGACTTCAGTGCTGGAAAGCAGAGGAACACTGAGGAAGGATTTGCAGCTGCTAAACAAGAGAAAAAAACATTTCAGTGGGAAAGGGAGGAGCTGCTCCCTCAGAGAGCGTCACACAGCACTGAGGCCTGGCACCACAGGTGTGGTCTGCGAGGCAGCAGCCATGCTGGCACAGAGCCTGGGGACTGCTGCTTGAGGGGGAGAATAAAATTGTCATGGAGTGCTCACAGTAAAAGCTATTACCATTTGTTTTAAGCAGATATGTTTTCATAGCAGTTTTTATTAGCTGCATGAAAAAAAAATGTGCTAACAGAGAGTGAAGGGAGATGCACATAGAGTACAATAAAGCCTGAGATGGGACTCATTCCAGAAAGCAGACAGTCTCAGCTGCATGGGGAGGGGTGTCAGTGGGGCAAGCTGCAAACACAAGCCAGAAGCCAGACACAAATGTGTCCCGAGTTGCATTTCCTCAGTGCTCCTCGTGTGTCCTTGGTTCACCCTACACTGCTGGCCATTGCAGCAGACATGGGATGGAAAAGTGAATTTGTTTGCAAAATAAAGCTGGAGGTGTCTCTCTTCATTGATTTTCTTCCATGTTGCAAGCGAAATGGAAAGTGGGAAACATCTGGTCACACAGCGTGTGATGTTATGCAGCAGTAATGCTGTGGAGAAGGCAACGGGGGAGTGGCGTGGGGGGGGAAGAGGGGGGGCAGGGACAAGGGCTGGGTTTAGGAACAGGGAGGGAGAAAGGAGGAAGTGGAGGGGAGCTGCTGCCAGCAGCTTCTGGAGTTACCCGAGGGACAGAAAGGAGAGAAAAAGAGAGGAATAATGGGTGAAGGAGTGCATGAGAAAGAAGTGGAGCATGTCAAGGTGGGGAAACTGCAGTGTGCTAACTGCAGGACTAACGCATTTTAAAAATACTGCAAGGACAGGAGAGGACATTTGACAGGGTTACGTAACGTAATTCCTGTGACTTCAGCGTGTGCTATTTGTGCTTCCTCTGACTAGCATGTGATCATCATTTATTTGAGTATCTCAATGACTGAGTAGTTTGGGGTTGTGCATTTAGCAATTATTATTTACAAGACTTAGATAGCATTGTATCTAGTTGTATTTCAGGATCCTCAACTCAATTACACCAATCTTTTCCACAGCGGATGTCGGCTCTGGACCACAAACAGATTAGAGGCATTAAGGCTCAGGACTCTAAAATAGTTTGTAGCTCTCTCTGCCATGGAGGAGCTTTAACTGAAGCCAGGCATAACTTAAAACTGTATCCTGTAGCTCATGGGTGTCCAACCTTTTGGCTTTCCTGGGCCACAGTGAGTGAAGAGGAATTGTCTTGGGCTGCATGTACAAAGATTGCTCCAAAATAATGCCTCCTAATTATTTCAATGAAAACTATAATTGACACAGAGAACACAATAACAATATTTAATAGAGCAAATGCTCAAACACGCTTCTTCAATGTTGTCACCACCATTTGTTACGCATTTTCACCAGCAATGAACAAGAGGCTTCATGATATACTCATAAAAATCATCACCAGCAGAGAGGACCCACTGTTTCCGTTTTCTCTGCTGAAATGCACCACATACCCCTCACTGTGTGTACATCCACTCTTTGGTCTCCATGAAGGTTCAGCAAGCATTAATGAATGTCAATGGGTACCATTTTTTCTACCTGGATGAATTCAATGACATACGTTTGCTTCATATGCTCTTCCATGTCAGGCACCATTTTGTCAGATTGCCCCTCTGCTGTCATCTGTCACATGGCAACAACATGTAATGGTGGGAAGGTTCATCCTCTATGCCATACCACCAACATCAACCTCTGATGTTGTAAGCCAACATTGTAAAACAGGTGCATTACTTTCCAAGCAACCCTCATAAAATATGTTATATAATTAATGTATATAAGTAACAACACATATTTCAGTTTTTAATGTTTTTATTGAAATACATAAAAGTGATAGCAACAAAACTATAAAGCTAGTGGGATATGTGACCCTGTTTTTGTGAAACTACTGCATCAGGCTGGTTCTATGACAGTAGTTGCAGCTTTTAGTGAACTCTTAAGGTGTTCATTAGATTTCTGATAAAATTTTACTCTTAATAGAATCATAGAATGGCTTGGGTTGGAAGGGATCTCAAGGATTTTTTAAGTTCCAACCCTCCTGTCACAGGCAGAGTTGACAACCACTACATCAAGTACTAGATTGCCAGGACCCCATCCAGCCTGGCCTTAGACAACTCCAGAGACAGAACATCCACAACCTCTCTAGGTAGTCTGTCCCTGCATCTTACCACTATCTCAGTAAAAAACTAGCTGGTGAACATACTGCTGAGTGACTTTAACAGTGCATCTCAGGCACATAAGCAACTGGACACATGTTGAATGCTTTTGTTTATATTAAAACATCTGTCTCTTTTTTTCAGTGTGGTCTTCTGTGCAAAAATGGTGATGCCTTGTTTGTGTAACATTTCCTATGTCCAGAGATAAGCTTACTAAAATTAGAATTCATGGAATAACTTTGTTTTTGGAGGAGATACTTTTGACTACTTCTTGGTTAAAGTTCATGAACTTGCCAAGAGCTAACAACGTCCTGAATTAAATCTCTTAAATGTTGGTGTGTTTCAATCCCAAAGACAAATACTTTTCACAAAAGAAAATCTCATCTGTTAGTGGTGTTTTTACTGCAAAAGAATAACTAGACTATTACATATGTTATTGACCTGTTTCCCACAAGGAACATCCTGTTTTTAGCCTTACATAAGGCAGAAGTCCCTTATTATACCAGAAATACTTCCCAGATTGTCACTATAATTTGCTACTGTATTTTTGTGAAAAACAACAGCTATGTATTATGCTCCTGAAAGATGCTGTCTTAGAACCACTGTCTTTGCATTGTTTGCTGTAGATTAAAGACACTGTTCTCCAGTACTTTGGAAGCCGTACGAGAAGAGCAATTCTGTACGCACCTCCTGCCCACAGCAAAGCCGAGCATCAGCTCTGTCAACGCATCCTGGCAAAGCATGGATATTCAGTCACAGTTCTTGAAAACAGGAGATTGGTGGATGATCTGAGACATGAAGGCCCTTATCACAGTAAGAATAACTTGACTTCGTTAATGAGTTCATTGCTAAATGTTAGCTATTGTTCCAATGTTTATCCACAAAGGTAAAGCTTATATGCTATTGGTGTGATTAAGGCCAAATTCTAACCCTTTACAGCTATGCAGATAATTTTTCCCAATTTGATGATTCTTCAATTAGAAACTACTTCTATAAAAAATGCAACAGTGATTCATCATAGTCTTGGGAACCAGGTTAGGTCATTTCAGTTCCTGATGAGTTCTCATACTGACTCCACCAATAACTAAGTGTTTTTCACTAGAGGATTGTATGATATACAACAAATATCTGCAACATTTCCCCCTTTCTCATTTTCTCTTTTAAAGGAAAGTTGCGTGCACGAAGGTATGATTTTTCCTGGGGAAATATTTTGATAGTTTTGTAATGTATGCGGTAAGCTTGTTAAAGAACATGATGCACAAGTTCATTTTGAACTTGTAGTAGAAGCTGAAGGAAATTGCTGCTAGTTATTTCTTAGTTCCTGTAGAAATTTGTTCTGTTGTTAAAAGGCTACTGAAGGAGCTTCATGTCTTGCACAAAGAACTATAGCTTTGTGGAGTTATATTGTGCCTGATAGAAGAACTTTGGTCACAAGTTATATATGCTGACTGTGGTTAAGTGATCTGGGACACTTTAGAGATATGAAGTGAAACTATGATCTCAATTTGATATTCTGGAAGTCAATTTTGGAATGTGAAGGCTTTGAAAAACACACATAGGCTGCTGCTATTCTGTTAGTAGTAAAATAGAATCATAGAATAATCCAAGTTGAAAGGACCCATAAGGATCATGGAGTCCAACCTCTAAAATAATGTAGTTGGCTGTTTCTCATGCTAAAGAGAGTGGCATTTGTATTATTCAGATCTGCATTGAATTCCTGAGGCTACCAGAGAGCTCAGTTTTGCTTTGTGCTTTAGCTGAGCGGATCAGCTTAATAGATGAAAAACATAATTATTCAGCATGTTTGAGGCTGCTCAAGATTCCACCATAAATTTCAACTGTCTCCAAGAAACTTTCTTGAAAATGAGATACATATAGTTTTCTTGGCAGGCTGCATTGGGTACTAATAAATTGTCTGTGCCTTGCTCTCTTTTACTGTAATCACTTTTCACAATCACCTTTCATCTACTCCTTGCCTTGTGTACTTTCCATCTTAGAGTGACAAGACACAGTGTGCTTACAGTCTTTTCTAGTGTCAGGCTGCAGAGACAAAGCAGCATCTCTAGGGACCATTTGTATTTCACCATCTGTGTGAAATATTTTGGTTTCGAATGGCTGAAGAAGTGGGCATGCCAAGTTCAGTTAGGCCTTGGAAAAAAATCTCTGTACTAGGTTTTGCTACAGTGATCAAATCAGGTTCAGGTTCTTCAGTACAGGTTTTTACCCTCCAAACACCACCTCTGCAGAAATGAGCTTGACTGTGGACACTTATGTTTTACACTCTATCTAGTACTGATAGTTCCAGAGTATTTTTCCAGTAATCAAAAAACAGACAAACACAATTTTAATTCTTTTTCAAAAAACACTTTGCAGCTTCCAGAATTTAGATGCATTGAAAAAAAGTAATTTTTTTTTTTGGATTAAGGTAAAGAGTAAGACGTCACTAATTCCATTTCATGACAACAGAAGCTTGCCGTTAAGTTTTTCATTTGTTATGTAAGTGTCTAGCTTTGAAGTCACATTTTAAAAGCAAAAGTAAGTAAAAGAACATGTCTGCATACCAAAACAATGATCTTTATTTAGAACAAAACAAGTTCAGCTTGAAGTTATTTTTCTTTGCCAGCAAATGATGGGTTTTACTGTTCTGGATGGGAGAGTGCTTTATAGACCACGTTTTGGAGAAGGATATTTTGAGCTATGCTTTGTCATAACATTTTTCTAATAGGAGCACTATAATTGATTTAAAGTGTATTCCTTGGAGCCTCTATTAAAAAGATAAAGGCAATGGACTGAGAATCAAGGATCATGAATGCTGTGAAAAAAATCCATTAAATGTCATTCCTTTCTACTTGATATTATGTAGCAGCTCTTGTCTGGTGCCTTTATTTTTGTGCACTTTCAAGGCGGTCTGTCTTACCCATCTATGTTCAGTTTAATTTCAAAAGGAATTTTTGTTTAGAATGGCAGTGAGCCAAGAGTCTAGCAGAAGTCATATATGGAAAAAAAATTCACCACAAAACATTCCTAACTATTTTGCACTGGCCCATTATGAGTTTTGGGACCAGTTCCGTTCCTGTTTTGAAACCCAGCTCTGCACACTGTGACAGCTCTGCACACTGATCTGCCATAAAGATGCCACACACCTGGGCTGCAGCATTGTTTTGAATTCCTTACTGCCAGGGAGAACTGCTATGGGAATATTTTTCTTCAGTGGAAATATTTTTCTTCAGTGGAAATTTTTTGTTTCTCTCAAAACAACCAAAACATTTTGAGGTTTGGTAACTGGAAGGTAATTGGTTGAAAAGAAAAAGCATTTTTTTTGTTTGTTTTTACAGGCAAAAAGACTAGTTTATGGCTTTCTTATGAAAAATTTATTCAGATGCTTTCTGTAGTAAAATACAGATTATTCAAACCCCTAATTTTTCACTGAAAAATAGTTTTGTCAGTAAATTTTTACATAGCTTTGCTTAACAAGAAAGAAGCTATGCTTTCTTCATTCCTTTCCAATTAAACCCATATGGAGGGAAAAGTCCATGGGTAGATAATAACTCTGCCTCCTCTGAGCTGCTTTGAGTCTTCTTTTAGTGGCATTCCTAAATGAGCCAATTTTGCTGTAAGGCTTAATGTGCCTCTGTGCTGCTGGGATGGAGATATGCAGGCACTGCTGTTTTAATAGGCAATAATGGGATAGTAAAGTTTTGCAGAGCTGAGACTGTCATCTTGGGTATGCAACCACTGTTGGGCTAGATCCATTTTGGCATGGTGAATTTGACCACTGAGGATAAGGAAAAGACTGAAGTTCTCAATGCCTTCTTTACGTCTGTCTTTAAAACTCAGACCAGTTATCTTTGGGGTGCTCTACCCCATGACCTGGAAGTCTCGGATGGGGAGCAGAATAAATTCCCCATTATTAAAATGGAAACAGTTAGAGACTACTACTCCATATGAGCTGCCACAAGTCCATGGGGTTGGATGGGATCCACCTGAGGGTGCTGAGGAAGCTGGTGGAGGTGATAGCCAAGCCACTTTCCATCATCTATCAGTGTTCCTGGTCAACCAGAAAAGTCCCAGAGGATTGGAGGCTTGTCAGTGTGACCCTCATCTACAAGAAGGGTTGCAGAGAGGATCTGGGGAACAGAACATCTTGAGGGAGATCACATGGCATGTGTAAGACAACCAGGGGATCAAGCCTCCTATGATTGAGTGACCTGCCGGGTAGATGAGGGGAAGTCTGTTGATGTGGTCTGCCTAGACTTCAGCAAAGCCTTTGCCACTGTCTCCTGCAGTATTTTGGATAAGCTGGCAGCCTGTGGCTTGGACAGATACACTCTTTGCTGGATAAAGAACTGCCTGGGTGACTGGGCCCAGAGAGTGGTGGTGAATGGAATCAAATCCAGTTGGTGATTGGTCACAAATGGTGTTCCCCAGGGACGGAATTGGGGCCTGTCCTGTTCAATATCTTTATTGATGACCTGGATGAGGGCATTGAGTGCGCTCTCAGTAGGTTTGCAAATGAAGCCAACTTGGCCGGAAGTGTCAATCTGCCTGGGGGTAGGAAAGCCCTACGAGGGGTCTGGACAGCCTGGATCACTGGGCCAAGGCCAATGGGATGGAGACAAGACCAAGTGACAGGTCCTGCATTTTGGCCAGAACAATTTCAGGCAACACTACAGGCTTAGGGCAGAGCGACTGGAAGACTGTGCAGAGGAACTAGACCTGGGGGTATTAGTCAGTGCTTGGCTGAATATGAGCCAGCAGTGTGCCCAGGTGGCCCAAGAAGGCCAGTGGCATCCTGGATTGTATCAGAAATAGTGTTGCCAGCAGGAGCAGTGGAGTGATCATCTCTCTATACTCAGCCCTGGTGAGGCCGCAGCTCAAGTACTGTGTTCAGTTTTTGGACCCCTCACTACAAGTAAGACATCGACAACCTGGAGCATGTTCAGAGTAGGTCAACAAAGCTGATGAAGAGTCTGGAGCACAAGTCTTGTGAGAAGTGGCTGAAGGAACTGAGATTACTTAGTCTGGAGAAGAGGAGGCCAAAGGGTGACCTCATCGCTCTCTACAGCTACCTGAAGGGAGCTTGTGGTGAAGTGAGAGTTGGCCTCTTTTCCCATGTAACTAGTAATAGGATGAGAGGGAATGGCCTCAAGTTCAACCAGAGGAGATTCAAGTTGGACATTAGGAAATCTTCTCTGAGAGAGTGGTCAGGAACTGGAATAGGCTGCCCAGGGATGTGATGAAGTCACTGTCCCTGGAGGTGTTCGAGAAACATTTGGATGTTGTACTGAGGGACATGGTTTAGTGGGAAATGTTGGTGATGGATGATTGGACTGGATGATCTTGGAGGTCTTTTCCAACCTTGGTCATTCTATCTGCAGCACCTGTGATAAATCCTTAACAATACAGGCAGTTCAAATGAGATTGGATAACCACTGATCATAAAGATACCAGATTGTCTAGGCCATCTATAAATGATACACTTGCGGGGTTTTTTTTGCCACTTAGGCAGAAGAAGGTATGCTTAGTGTCTTGCTTCTTCCTGAAATGTGACAATACAGGCATAGACTCTGGGACAGGTTCTGCCTTTAACATAGCCTTGGGGGGGTTTGAAACTGGTATCACACAGCCTCACAGAATTCAGGATCAAAAGAAGGATTAAGAAAGACCCACACATCTGGGCTTTCTCCTGAGGGTTTACTTTCCTTTCCTCAACCCAGAACAAAGCTGTTTTGCTTCGTCAGAGGTGAGTGGGATGAACTCATCCTTCAGATATCCTTAGGTCCTCCCTAAGAAAGAAAGGCAAATGCTAGAGA